TAATCTTTACCCATGCACCCTGGAGTGGATGGGGTCTTAATTAAGGCTTATTTGGGGGGGGGGCGTAGGATTTATATTGGATGCATGTCAGGGGTGGGTTCTACTTACCTTTATTACTGGTTTGCAGTGGGACCTCATGTGCGCGCTTACTTAGCTCGCGTGCACAGAAGCTTCTACGCATGCATAGAAGTGTTTTGGTGACATTGGGGTTGGTGGGCGAGGCCTCCCGCCGGTTTTACTACCGGTTCTATAGAACTGGTGCAAACTGGGGCAGCCCACCACTGGTGCACATGTAAAAATCAAGATAGAACTTACTTTTGGGGTAGGTTGTATATTCGGGAAAACACAGTATTCTCAGAAACAAACTCTACATATTTCTAAGTACCAGTCACTGAAGAAGTCAGTATTCCCCTGCACTCTTAATGTACTTTCACAGACATTTGAAAGGCAGAACTTTCAATTGGTTAAAAATATTTAGTCTTATTTTCAAAGACTATTCTTCTATTCTCAAGATATAGCCAAGTCATGGCATAAACAATCTGTTTTAAATACATATTAGAACATTTTGAATAAACCAGCTGTGCAGGAATTAGCTGTATGTATTCTTATCAAATGAAGTTTCATTCTAATGCCCTGTAATTCATATATACATTCGAATCTATATATTCACCACAGTTTTAATTACTTAAATATTAATTGCAATGTTGAAGATAATCTAGAAAACAATTAGCATTAAGAAATAAATGTTTCACCTTTTTTCATTGTACTCCTCCAGGCATCCATTATACCTTCATTGTGTTAGGTATAGATGATAGGAATTAAAGGGGTGGGTGGGTGAAAATGCTGTATATTACTGGAATAAGATCAATAAACTCAAATAGGTGAAAATACCATTTCTATAGTATAAAAGAACCACCATGAGGAACAAGTAGAAAAGGTTTTTTGCCTGCTTTCTGAAGAGTGCATCCTTAAGATGGTTGAAATAATATAGCCATATGACAGAAGGAGTCCAACCAGTGGTGGGTTGCTCCCGGTTTGCACCAGTTCTATAGAACTGGTAGTAAAACTGGTGGGAGGCTCCGCCCACTGACCCCGATGTCACCAAAACGCTTCTGTGCATGTGCAGAAGAGTGTGCACGCAGCCCTGATGCAAACCAGTAGTAAAGGTAAGTAGATCCCACCCCTGAGTCCAACCTATGAAAAAGCCACTGGAGAGGAGAGTAAAAAAACCATGATTGAAAGAAATATCTCCACGTGATAATCTCAACAATGGAGCAATATCACAACAGAAAGCATCCTGGTGCTTGTTGCCACAAAATGGTAACTGGAAGGCAAAGGTGGTATATACTACTGAGCTAAGTAAACCACTGGCCCAGCACGCTGTAGCCAGTTGGAAACAAATTTCTTTGCTTATAATCAGTGTATAGTGTAGAGCATTGCAAATGGCAACATAGCTGTCAAAGGCCATCATTGCAAGTTGGAAGCACTCAATACCCACAAAAGAAAGATTTCCAAAGAAGAAATAGATGGGAGTTCAAAGTTTCTGGTTCATCAATGTCATTAGGATAATGAAAGTATTCCACAATGAAGGTATACCACAGTGAGGGTATACCACAGTGAAGAGATAAATGATGAAGAATCCAATGAAGAGCAAAAGATGGATTTCTTTCAGATTTCTAAAGCTAAGTATGGTGAACTCGACCAGTTTAGTTTCATTTTGTATTTCCATATCTCAATGAAAATAAGACCTATTGTTGAAGAGAATAAGACAATAAATTTAATAAGTTTAAATATTAAATATTTAAATATTAAACACAGAGAATTAAAGGTAGCATGAGACATGTCATAGGACAGAGTTGTGGTTTCAATGTAATATCATTTTCAAAGAAAATGAGCAGAACTAGTGTGATCTAATGCATTGACTTTTTATGGTGTGATCTCCCGCTTCTATGAACAAAGCTGTTTTATGTATAATTTATGTCTTTTAAAACTGACCTGAGGAATATGGTAATAAAAAGTGAGAAGACATTATTGTAATATAAATAAAGCACAGTAATCACATAAAAAAAAATTCAATTCACTCTTTTGGCTCAAATGATTTTCTCAATAATTGATAGTGTCTTTAAAATAAAAAATTAAAAATATGAATTATTTAATAATTTTGGCTTTTTTTAGTCTGTGGAGATTATCAGAATTTATAAAAACTGTCTAGAAAGAATGAATGATTTGAAATGAATCTGATTTGAATTTATCCTATCAATACAAACCCTCTCCAGATGGGTTTTCCGCAGTGGTGGAATTCAAATAATTTAACAACTGGTTCTCTGCCCTAATGACCATTTTAAGTATAAAAAATGATAATAAGTCTTATTATCCGGGGATGTCTTACTTTATAGAGGTGGAGGGGCCAGGGCCTGTACATAATTCAACACCTGGTGCTTAGATGCCCTCACTTAGGTTTCTGTACATTAGACTCATTCCATGGACAGTATAAATCTTATTATCTGTGTTAAGGTTATAGAGAATAGCAGACCTAACAGTATCAAAATGGTGATAGTATATATTTTATATAGTTTGTCACAAATTCAGGCTTTATAATTTAACACTTTGGTGCAGAGACTTTGGATTCTTCCTTACAGCTGAATTAAACTCCTATTCACTATTGCTTGAACTAACAAGAAAGTATCCCAACTTAAAATTTATTGTTCCTATACCAATCTATTCCACTATAGTAATGAAGCTGATGACCAACATTATTTTTACTAACTATTTTAGTGTCAAATTACGGAGACATCGTAGCAGAGAAAGCCATGTTAGTCTATAGTGTCAAAAAATGAGGAGTTTGGTAGCACTTTTTCCAATTAGTTCATTAGTTTTCAATCTCACGTCATCAGAAAAGCTTCTGCCTGTTTTTTTCAAATGTTAGTCAGAAAAGGCACCATGCAGCTAGATTCTTTCTGAAGTTAAGGAGAGCAGTCAATGTCTTTTCCCTACCACCAAGCATCATAGGTTGGTATGGAAACAATCACCAATCACTCTCTCTAAAGTGGGGATGAAAAAAGATAGGGCAGATCAAATGGAAGGTTGCTTAACAGATGGCAAAAACTAAGGGAAAGGAGGGAAAATAGGAGAAAGCAGGAGGGTCTCCTCCCACAATGCTCATGCTAACTTCTCCCTTGCGCCTTTTCTGAAAAAAAAATAGCCCAAGGGAACATGGGTGAAGAAGGTCATAAGGTGAAGCTGAGGGAGCAATGGTATACTGCAAGCACATGGCTGGGAAAGTGACCAATAAATTTTCAATTCTCCTGTCCAGGGGCATCCAGAAGAAGCACATGGGGCTATCAAAACAGAAATGGAATAGGCAACATTATTCTCCCATGGTGCATTGCACAAAAAAATCCAAGGGAACTGGCAATGAGTCTAAAATGCCCACCCACCTCCATCCCTCTTTCTCCCTCTCTCTGTGTCTCTGGGTTCAGCTGGAGCCACAGTCCACTACACAGACCTGGAGCCACCCTTCTACCCTCAACAGGTTTGAGTTACTGCTGAAGAAAGGTGCTGATGACCCCATGGGCATCCCTTTCTCTCTCTCCTCCTTCCACTCTGGGGGAGTGAAGGCACCACTTTGGCAAAAAAGGGAGTCACTCCCTTAACCCAGTCTTGTTTGCCTCCCTCACCCACCCCCGCTCACACACAAACAGCCCAGGTGAGGGAACCCGGGTGGATGGGCATGGCCAGCATGAGTGGCAGTGTGTGGGGGGGCAACTGTCTGGCAACCCCTTGGGGCTTGCCCTTCTCTTTCTGGACACAGTGCTTCTGCTTGTTGGGCTGTTTCCCTGAAGCCAGCAGCTCCATGGCTTTGCTTTTTCCCTCTTTTTGGGAGACTCACGGGAGGCTTTTTGGCAAATGGGAGAAAAATGGGGAGGGAACATTTTCCTGCCTGTCATCCATTCCTCAAGCTCAGCACAGACTGAGGGAAGGATGGCAGGCAGGAAAATTTCCCCTCTCCATTTTCTTCCCGTTCGCCAAAAAGCCTCCATTCTGATTTTGAGCTCATGCTGGAGCCTATCTTCAGGGAACTTCTCTCTAGATGTTATGTGTGTGGTATTTCTAGTGCGTGTTGTAAGTGGATTTTTAGATGTTGATTTCAGATTAGCATGCATTGATTGATGTCTGGCTTTTAATATTACATTATATACGTAACCTAGCTAGAGGTTGTTTAGCTTAAGTAAGTGATTCCCCAAATCTCCATATCTTAAATGGTGCTGCTCAAAAAGACCATACTGGTCACTTTATGTCTTGGTCAAGCTCTATACTTTCAACTATTATTTTATGCATTTCCATACTAAAGATGTAAATTTAGAATTTAAATGATCATTTATCTCTTATCTGTAGCTTTCTGTCTCGGTTGCTGCCAATCAAATCTGTCAAAAAAACTTTTTTCCTGTAGTTAAAAATAAGTTAAAAACAAAAATTCCCTTCAATCAAATTCAGTTACTGATCCCTGCATAGATGCATCAATGTAATTTTACAGTGATGCAAATATTGATTGCCATAACCTTCTTCAAGGAACTGTTAGATTGTTTATTCATTTCTGGCCTAAAGATTTCAGATTTTTTGATGATGTCCCACCACAATAATTTTTTTTAGATCAACCAATATCATCTAATGGAAGATTTTTACTATACTACCATAACTGTTCACTATACTAGGAGATTCTGAAGTATAGGATGACTGATGAAGCCTAGAAGAATAAATCCATTTGCCAATGCCCAATTCTGAATCTACATTTTATCCACAAGAGTCCACTTACAGTGATAAGCACAGAAAATTAAGCCATTCTTTACTGTTAAAAACTATAATATTGGCATTAAAAACTGGCAATATCCTTAAAATATTCTTATTTTTAACATAATGTAATTATTGATATCAAAAATATTAAAAAGTAGATTTCTTCAATGTTCAAAGTTGTCTTATTTTAATACATAGAAGTACTATAGTAATTTAGATGGCAACCACTTTGTGTACCAAGTATGTCAGTTTAATAGTCCTATAGTGCTTTAGGAAATGAACAATATATACAGCTTCAGATTTTGTACATTTCTTACATAATTCTAGAATGATGTACAGAACAGTCTTTTTAAAGAATACTTGCACAATTTATTGGCAAGAAAACAGAGTCAGAAAAGATTTCACAAATATATGCATTAAGTGGATTTATGCACAAAGTATTCATAAAGCAAAATTTAATTCACTTTCCCCATTGCTTTAACTAAGGCCTCTTTAACATCTTTGTTCCTGAGGCTGTAGATGACAGGGTTCAACATAGGAGAGACCAAAGAATAGAAGACTGCAGCTTTCTTCTCTTGAGCTGCAGAGAGGTCAGACTGGGGCTGCAAGTATGTGAAACAGATGGTGCTGTAGAACAACACAACAATGATGAGATGTGTGGCACAAGTAGAGAAAGCCCGTTGTCGCCCCTCAGTTGAATTCATATTAAAGATCACCCTGCCAATCTGGAAATAGGAGAGCACTATAAAGCCAAGAGGCAGCATGAGGACAATTACACTCAGAGCAAAGATGAAGACCTTTATCATATAGGTGTCCAGGCAAGCTAGTTGAAGCACAGCTGGTGCTTCACAAAAGAAATGGTTGATTTCATAAGGTCCACAGAAGGGAAAATTTACTGTGCATACTGTTAGTGCTGCAGCATTGAAAAAGCCTCCAAACCAGCATATCCCAGCCATCTGTATGCACATTGGCATTCTCATGATGATGGGATATCGCAGCGGCCAGCTTATAGCCACATAACGGTCATAAGCCATAAGAGCTAAGATGAAACATTCTGTTATCCCACAGGAGAGGGTTAAGTTCATTTGGGCCATGCATCTGTTGTAAGAGATCATTTTAGTTTCAGAAGCCATGTGGGCTAGCATTTGAGGGGTAGTGATCAGTGTGAAGAATATATCCAGCAAAGATAAGTTACCAATGAAAAAATACATTGCTGTGTGGAGACGGGAGTTGATCCAGACCAAGAAGATAATCAGGCTGTTTCCAAGAACAGTGATAATAGACATAGTGAAAAATATCATAAAAAGGAATGGCTGCAAAATGGGATGAGTGGTAAAGCCTAGAAGAATGAATCCATTCACTGCAGTCTCATTCTGAGTCCACATTTCACCCACCAAACTTCACCTATATGATAATCACAACAAAAATTGATTTTTTCAATACTTAAGCTGAGAAAGAAATATTATTTTCCATTTTTATTTTGATTGTTCTGTGGATTCTGTAGTTTTATTTTGGTATGTAAACAGAGACCTAAAACTAATCAGAAACTTTAATACAAGCACTAAACTTAATACTGATGAAATACATTGCATAATATATCATCTCATACAGATTTTGTATATTTTTCATGAAAATTTCAGTGTGTCAACAAGAATACTATTTACCAATCATGCTTGACAGAATTTAAATCTCATTCTTCACAGATTTAACTTTTCAAGAAATAGAAGTTTCCTTTTTTTTCATTTTTGTACCAAGGCAAAAATTTATTGCTTATTTTCTCTATAAATGCATGCATTTTTCTATCATTTTATATCATTAAAGGAATTTCAAGTGTTATACAATAGATAGCACCTTCCCATTGGCAATCAATAAAAAAAAATATTGCTAAGAAATTTAAAGGTTGATATGTGAAAGATACTTAATATGCATGCTCCTTTCTCCTTTAATTTATGGTTAATGATGAGTATTATACAATACATGTCATGAACCTCCCTATGTACAATTTAGATTCTCAGTTGAATTTATTGAAAACTTTGGAATAGGACCTTTTTTTATGATTATATATGAGGCTTTAGATTATCAATCTAATTTCTCTAGATGAGAAAAAGTAGAGCTATTGCTGTTGCTAGTCATTACTGTAGTTACAATTACTAAATAAGTATAGGAATAAACATGCCTTCTAATAACTTATTCTGTTATTTAAACTTCATGATTTACCCAGAATGAAGAATCCTTCTAATCTTTAAATTGAATCATCAGATATCTGAAGAAAACGCTTGGAAATATCAGGGGATTTTAAACTTGTAGCTTAGTATTCTATACACTTAACTGCACTCAAAACTCAGCCACACTTGCAATATGATGCTTCATGAAAAAAACAAAACTCTATACATTTTTAAAGAAGTCACTTAATTCAATATTTGTGAACAGTCCTAGAAAAATAAAACTTTTTTTTTTGGCTCCTCTTTAATATTGCACAATTTTTAAAAATGATTTAATATGCATTTTGGCTTAGTAATGAATATTAAATGTAGTCTTGATGGAAATTAACAATTTATATGGAAGTTATGAAATCTGAAACATATGTCATTTCCTAATTAGTACAAGTCACTTGCATGATCACAAAATACAAAAACAGAGCATAAACAAGCAGACAATTATGAATATGGTTTAGTAATGTAAACTATAAGATATAGTTTTTCTTTGAAAATCTTATTCCATATTTAAAGATTTAGTAAAAATTCATAATTCGAAGCTCTCAACGTTCTTTAAGAAAGTAAAATTGCATGGCATAAATCAAATGTTTTCATTATTTCATGAGTTTCATTAGTTCATTAGTTTACTTTTATTTCTTTGTTAATTTGTGGCTGTGATTGGCTCTTCATTCATACAACCACATGTAGTTCCAAGTCCCACTTACCTTTTGTTCTAACCATTTAGAATGCTAATTGCATTTATACATCGTCTATCTGTCTATCTACCTATATAACCTACATACCTATCTATCTATGAACAACAACACTGAAATAATTGAACAATTCTGCATCTTCACCAGGTTCTGAAATGGAATATGTTTCAGAAAAAGAACTAGATTAAAATGGAAATCTAACAAGGAGAAACTCTTACTTTCTCTGAAGTATTCAAAAAATTTCCCTTGAGATTTTCCAAGCCTATTAACTTTTCATTCCTTAGGGTTACCTAACGTTAAAGAACAATTAATTTGAATCTCTAGGTTTAACAAAGTAGAAAGTTTTGTGTAACTATGCAAAAAAGAAATTTGTTTCTACACATTTGGGTGGTGACAGTGGTAGTGGTCAGTGAGAAAACTACTTATAGTGAGGAACATCTGACTGCTTTAGCAACCATTTAGACATCATAGCAGTTTGTCCTGAGGCGTGCTTTAGCCCAAGAATCTGCAGCAAATAAGTGCTTATAAATCTTGCTTTATGGGAGAAAATTATAGATTCATAACTTTACTGTAGATGAAAAAAAAAATCTATCCAGTGAAAATATTTTGAGTATCTCCTTTACTGCATTTTAAATATATTCTACAGCATCTTGATGAAAATTGATTAGCATTCCATAAATTATTAATAAATTTAAAATAAGTAATCTATTAACCTTAGCATAGAAGAGAACTCACCATCATCATAAATTGAGGAGTTCCTTCCAAAATTAATTATGAAACAAAACACATTTTCAGAGATTAAGGTTTGAAAGTTTTATTTCTTGGTTATATGATCACATAACATTCCTCGTGATCTTGTTGATTTCACCATTATCAGCAGATACCAATGGAATTTGTATTTGAAAACAGTAGTCTATGAAATATAAAGCAGCTTAAGATTTTACATTTAGTTGATTATTAAAGGCATTTATGAAATTCATGGAAATATGAAGCCAATTCATGTTAACCAAAGAATACCTCCAGTTTTAGAAGTGATTCGTGTATACTTAATTTGGTGAGGGATGACTGATGTAAATTCTTGACTACATACACAGGGTATGGTATCACCTGATGATGCATTGATAACCATTTAAATTTGAAGATATTCAAGGGAAGTCAATATTTCCATTTCTTTCAGAGTTTATTCTGAGATTCAACACAAGATATCCAGTTACTTAAGGAGTTGTAGGGAACCATGGAGATGACCTTGAATAAAGCAGCCAGAGACTGTTAAAGAAGAAACATGAATTAAGTTTAGGTGGGCAGAAGACTATGTAAAATGGAATCAAAGCAGTTCTCTCCCTAAAATTCTTCTGATATGAAAATGAGGAAATGGAAAACAGGCAGTCTTGCAAGATACCATTTCTATACTATCTTTATTATCAGAAACAGTATACTTCAAACCAGATATTTAATCTCATCTAGCATTCAAACTTCTGTTCTCATAAATCATGGTATACTAAAACTGTTTTAAATTTACACGATGAAGAAAAAATTAAGTAACCTAGATCTGCCAAAATCCTTTCTACTGTATACTGAACAACATCCTTCTAGATATACCTCTTATACAATTAATAAATTGTGTGTTAGAATAAAATAATAATCAAATTATCATAAATTTTAGAAAAAAGAAATATTGAACATTATAAGAGGTGGCATGCCGCAAAGAGGGGGCTGAGGGTTTTTTTTAAATTGTCTTTGTGTAAATTTTTAAGGGGTTTGGGGAGGGGGGTGGGGAGGGAGGCCAGTCTGGCTGTTAATGGTGCCATAGGGGGTATGGACTCTGGGGGAAAGGGGACTGTTAGAATGCCCTCTATTGAGGGCTTCTCCATCAATACGCTGAGTGGGAGGGGCAGGTATGGCGGGAGCAGGGGGCTGCATCATGTGGTGGGGGCACGTGCTCGCTATCTCCGAGCGATTGCATGCCCCGGTCCCCTTAGCTCTTCCCGTTCCTCAGGCTGCTTAGAGTCTCAGGGCCCGAGTTTCCGGCTGATGTTGTGTAATGCCAGGTCCGTAGTAAATAAACCCCCCCTCATTTGTGATCTTATTCAGGAGGGGGGGAGCGGACCTGGCAGGTATTACAGAGACCTGGTTGGGCCATGAGGGGGGGTTCCCTCGTGGAGATGTGCCCATCAGGCTTCCGTGCATTTCATCAGCCGAGAGCTCAGGGCAGGGGCGGGGGGGGTGGCGGTCATTATAAGAGAGGGTCTTGATCCGAGGGAGACCACTGTGCCTCAGATAGCCGGATGTGAGTCCCTTTTCGTGAAGTGGAGTCGTGGGGTGCAGATGGGTCTGATGATCATGTACCTGGCTCCCTGCCACATGGCGACGACCCTGCCTGAACTCCTCAATGTTATAGCCGAGGTGGTGGCTGATACCCCCAGACTTCTGGTCATGGGGGATTTCAACTTGCCATCCATTGGTGAAACTTCTGAGGTAGCTCGAGTGTTCATGGCTTCTATGACGGCCATGGACCTGTCCCAAGTAATTTTTTTTTTTAATTTGATTTATATGCCGCCCTTCTCCGGAGACTCAGGGCGGCTTACAATGAGTTAAGCAATAGCCTTCATTCTTTTGTATGTTTTATACAAAGTCAGCTTATTGCCCCCACAAACTGGGTCCTCATTTCACCTACCTTAGAAAGGATGGAAGGCTGAGTCAACCTTGAGCCTTGGAGAGATTCAAACCAGCAGAAATTGCAGGCAGCTGGTCTTAATAACAGGGTGCACTAAACCCCTGTACTATCAAGGCTCTTTCACGGCCCTACTCACATGGGGGGACACACTCTGGACTTAGTTTTTGTCTCTGGTCAGTGGTTGAGTGGCCTTGATATAGGGGATATAGATACTGAACCCTTGTTATGGTCTGACCACTCGCTCCTTCGACTTGACTTTCTGACCGCCATACCCCATCGCAGGGAGGCGGAGCCGACCAGGTGGTTCCGCCCCAGGCGCCTGATGGATCCTGATAGGTTCCAGATGGAGCTTGGGCCATTTCCTGAAACTCTAGCTCACGACTCGACTGATGATCTGGTGGCCACCTGGGATAGTGCAGCTGCCGGGGCTTTGGACCGGGTCGTGCCTTTGCGGCCTCTGACCCGGCACCGAACTCACTTAGCTCCTTGGTTCTCCGAGGATCTGAGAGAGATGAAGCGCCGGAAAAGACGCCTAGAGAGCGGTTGGAGGGCCAGCCGTTCCAAATCTGACTTGACACTGGTAAGGTCTCATATTAAGACCTACCTAGTGGCGATAAAAGCGGCGAAATCTAGCTATTTTGCCACTCTTATCGCATCATCAGATAACCGCCCAGCCCTGTACAGGGTGACCCGCTCCCTTCTCCATCTGGGAGCACGGGAGGATCCCTTGCAGGGCCGAGCTGAGGATTTTGTACAGTATCTGGATGATAAAATAACTCAGATTCGGGAAGACTTGGCCACTG